CAGTGAGCTGATAGGGGACCGAGCTTTCCCTTTCCTTAGAACTTCACCAAAATTGATTCCCTTAAGTGCCCCTCCCGGGGTACCCGGCGACAGCAGGCGGAGGCAGGCGCCCTTGCCCCTCGACTTCCGCGCGCCCTGCCGGGGCACTATCACGACACCTGGCTTCCTTCCTGGCGAGTCCTTCCCACTGATCGGGGCACCACAGCTGTCTGGAAATCATGGACATGCTGGGTTTATTATTTAGGAGTTTTATTTCTGTATGAAAAGGTGCTTCCGGTCTGACAGATCCATAGCCGGCACCTGAACCTACCCACCGGGAAGAAGGGATGACACACCAGCGCCCGCGCACAGAGCCTCCCCAGACGTGGAGCCCATGGCCCGAAGCTCACACGCTCCGGCCAGCCTTGTGGCCACCACCACAGCAGCCAGCACCACGAGGGCGGGCAGCCAGCTGCTGGGAAGGAAAGCACGTTTCTCGCCAGTCTTGGAGACCAGGGCTTTGAAAAGGCTCTAGTCTTCCGGGGATGAGAAGCCCAAAATGCAAGAGGGAGGAGGAACACAGGCTCTCACTCTGGACGGAGGGCAGAGGCGTGCGCTGCGGTGAGAGGTCACAGAGGGGGCCCTGACCCCTTGGCAACGCAGCCACGGTGCATGCACTTCATTCATCTGCAAACAAAGTTTATTTGCCCAGCATTTATTTACCGAGGAGCCAGCCATGTGTTGCTCTCCTGGACCTGTGCTTGAGGCACACGAATCTGGCCATGGAGTGGCTAGCTTCCCTCCTCAGGGGGCAAGACAGAGGGCCTCCCGGAGGAGGTGGCCGGCCTGGAGCATGAGAGGGGCAGTCCCAAGTGACCCAGGCCAGGGACAGCAAGGGCCCCGAGGCCAGGTCTGGGGACCAGCAAGACTAGGGAGAGCGGCACCCCCAGGGTGGAAAGGGGCCCCCCACGGTCCTGCCTGCTCCAGTGGGGGAAGGCTCGCCCCTAAGCCAGGTCCGGGATGCTGGGTGTCGGTCCCTCCAGATATAAAGCAACTCCTGAAGTGTCAGAGCATCAGGAGAACCTGCCCTTCCGCCCAGAGGCGGGCAGGGCTTGCCCCACTGATCCCACTTTGGGGGCAGTGGGAGGCCACACAGAGCACCCTGCGAGTATGTCCGTCTGTCTGTCCATTTGTCTACAGGACTTTGGGTGTCAGGTCCCTCCATGGGGAGGGGAACGGGTCAGGGAGGCCCTGAGGTGGCAGCAAGGAGGCCACGGGTGGGTCTGGAGCTGCTCCGATAGACGTGGCACACAGCCTCTGGGTGCTTCGCTCTCTCCAGCTACAATTTAGGGAAATATCGGTTCTGTAAGATTTTCCAAAAGGAGAATGAGTGGAAGGGAGTTGCCATAAAGGGGGGAATGCATTCGCTGAGGGCTCAAGGGTGGGGCATCCTTGTCATCGGGAGACGGCCTGGGCCTCAGGGAGGCTGGAGCCCCGTGGCCCTGGGGCAGGTGGAGGGCTCCCACCTCTTGGTGACACAGAACTGCTCCCAGCCCCAGAGATGGCGCCCCCCTTGAGCCCGGGGAGCTGGCAGAGATGCTCAGGGGACAGCGGGGCCATGCAGGGTCCTGCCAGCTGCCAGCCTCACTGCCCCTTGAACTTGAACTTGTTCTTCCCTGAAATCACCTCTAACTTCACGCACTTCACACTCAAATCGCTGGCCCTTTCTTCCTGCTGGCTTGTCCCCACTGCCAGGGGGTAGTGCAACATCACTGCTGAGCACACCCACTGCTGGGCCCATCGTCCTGGGTCCCACCCAGCCCCTGAACCCAGCTGTACGGGTGTGCCTTCTGCAGGACAGCCTGCATGCCACACCCCGGGATGCTGACTGCACTCAAGCGATGACCCCCTGAGGTCCAGTGGCCTCACTGGCAGAGGAGGCACAGGCAGGAGATGGTGCCACTCTGTGGAATCACAGTCCCACCGTGAAGCCCCTCAAGGGGGCACAGCCAGCCAAGGGCCCCTGAGGAAGGCTGCTGGGCTCCCCAGGTGCCAGTACCCCTGCCTCAGCTCAGCCACCCAAACGCTGCACTCCAAGGCAGAGGCCGAGAGAAAGGCAGGCCAGACGCGACCACAACCGCACCCTGAGTGGCAGGGGCCGTGCTGCCCAGCCCTTCTGCTGAGTGGCTGCTTACCACCCATGACTGCCCGGGGACTCCCCCAGCCCAACGGGCCTCCTTCCTCCACCGACCAGGTTGCTGGACAAATCTGCACCCCAGCACTTACTGGTGGTGGTCGGATGGGCGTATTTTATAGGTGGGGCTTGGCTCTCGGACAGGCAACTTTTAGACTAGGCCCCGTCCGGGCTCTGGGGCGCCCCATTCTGAAGCAGTCCTCTCCCGCTGAGCGTCACCCTGTGCGTGCGCCCCTCCTTCATGGGGCAGGAGGGCACTGTCACCCGCTGGGCAGGAGCAGCCGGCCCTCGGCCCTGGGTGACACACCAGCATGCTGCTGAGGCTCAGCGTTCCCTACCTTTCCTGGGGAAGGGAGGCAACTAGGAGGCCAGACCCCAGCCCGAGGGCTCCTGGCCACCTCTGTACCAGGGCCTCTGCACGACTGCCCTGTGTCCCACAGAGGTGGCAGGCTCTCTGTGCAGGAGGCCCCAGTGGGCGGGCTGGGCCCACGTCCCGAGGAGGGGACGCTGGATTCTGGTCCCGCAGCCACGGCCTCCTTATGTGCCAAAGAACCCGGCCCTCCGCCTGCCGCAGACCCCAGGGGGACGCGCAAACGTCTCAGACAGCGCACGCACCTCGGGATGCTGGCGAGATAGGCCATGACACTCTGGAAGTCCTTGTCGGGGACGTCGCCGAAGGCCGGATAGTCTGGGAAGGTGATGACAGGGCTGCCGTCGCGCCCCCGCCCACCTGCGGAGAGAGCAGAGCCCCACTTAGCTGGGACTTTTCCACAACCCCGAGGATTTCACCCAAAATCAAGGGTGAGCGGTTCAGTGCTGTAGGTTGCTTTTTTTTAGGAAAGGAAGCAAGCTTAAAGGAAACACCAGGGGCGCACAATGAGCGAGAATCAAAACAGTCACCCTTCTGAACAGCCGCCACGGGGCAGCCACACCAAGTGGCACCTCTCCTTCCAGCTGCTTCCTGCGCATTTTCTGCCTGGGACTGAGTTGAACATGCAGCTGGGCCTTTCCTAACCCCAGAACTAGTTTTCCATGATGTGTGGAAATGTGATGTGAGCGCCACTTTCACGTTGCCCGGCGCTCCCCTCGCACTGTGGCTGACGACTCACCTGCCTGCTGCAGGTGGGCGCTGGGTAGCTCGTCCGCTGCCCACACGTGAGATGCACCCACTCCAAAGGGAAGCAACCCCTCAGTGCCATAGGGGAGGGGAGGGCGGGGCACAGGCGGAGCCAGGAGGCTCGTCACACCTGAGAAATCGCACGTGGACCCTGGAACGCAGCCCCGTGCGCCACTCGGGATCAGGGACGGCAGGTGCGGCTCCAGCCAAATGAGGTGTCGGGAGCAGAGAGCCTGGGGGAGGGCGGGTGTCCAGTCTGGTTGGCATTGGTGTGAATTGCCCTGCGAGTGGCCCACAGAAGCAGCAGAGGCAGCAGGAGGCAGGACAGGTGGGAGGCACAGCCTGGGCGCCAGGCCTGCCTAGCAGCGCCCTCGGTGGCTGGAGAGGCCACTGCGGCTCCCTCAAGGGCTGGGGTCCTCTTCTCTTCCCTCTGGACCTGAGTGTGGTCTGGTGACCTGTTCTGGCTCACTGGACATGGCAGACATGAAGCCACCTGACCCCAAGGCTGGACCGTAAGACACCACAGCGTCCACCCGCCCTGCTCAGAGCTGCCCCTGGAAACTGGGCATCATGTGATCCCACAAGCCTGTGGTCACCACACGGCGAGGACGCCCTGCACTGCCAGGAGGGGCAGGCCCCATGGTGGAGCCTGCAGGTGCCAGAAGGGGGCAAAGGAATGACCATCTCAGCCCTCTGTATCCTCACCCATGGAATTAGAAACCATGAGTGCAGTTGCTTTGAGCTGAGTTTTGGGGTAGTTTGAGCAGCAACAGATACCCTGGGCACGTGGCTGCCCCCAGGTTCCCGCTGAGAGGACGCCTTGTGGGCAGCAAGATGCATGCCAGTGGCCCCCCTCCCGCGTGGCATGCTGGCGGTGACTCAGGCATCTTCTGTGCTGTGTGCTAGTCCAGCCAGTCACAATGTAGATGGACGCTGAATAATTGCACTGCAAAGCCTCACGCTGTGAGCCTATCAGACCCTAAGAGCCGGGAGGGCAGGTCCCTCCTGCAAGGGCAGGACCCGTGGGAAAGCAGGTCAGTGTGCCAATCCGGCGGTGGTGAGAAGGGATACAGCTAGGGCTCCCCTCTGAACAGCACCCATATTCACAGTGGAGGGTTGTTCGCCGGGCAGGAAATGTGAAGTGAGCCCCCTCTGGGGAACGTGTCCCTCAGTGACACTCAGCCCCGAGCCGAGGCTTGCTGGTGGAGCAGCCAGGCGGGCAGGTGTGGGGTGGTGACGGAGGACGGGCCCCTCACCTACAGGCGCTTTTGGGGTGCTGCGACAGAGAGGACTCTGGGATTTGGGTTCAGTATGCTGCTTCCTTTGGGTCCCATCCCACCTCCTAATGGACACAGTGCCACGTGGCATTTCCTCCACATTCTCCTCGAGCCCCTTGTCCAGGGACAAAGCCCCTACATTCACCACAAAGCCCCGTGGTGATGTGGGCTTTCCGGATACTCATGGGCAACTTCTTTTTCTCGAGAAGTCACGTGTAGTGGGCGGAGCAAGGGGCTGATCTCAGCCCAGCTTCCATGGGCCCAGGGGTTTTCCTGTGACTGACGGAAAGAGAGACTCTGGCCAACTGGGAGCAATAGCTCAAGAATTTTCTGGAACTCCCCCTCAGATTCTCCTAAGACCCTTCCCTTAAATCCCATTTGGCTACAGCTAATCCTGCTGTTACCACTGATTGTGTTACTTTTAAAAAGCCATCTACAGCTGAGTTGGCTGACTAAGGCGGACCACACTGTCCACGGACAGCAGCGGGATGCGGCCCAGGCGAAGGGCCGCCCCGTCGTCCAAAGGCACTGCCGGGTTGGGGCAGCCCTCATGGAGGAAGGAATGACCTGTGGCGACTGTTCTGAGATGCAGTGTGATCTGTGTGGCTAAGGGGGCGCAGGACAACTTCCAACTCATGACCCACAGGAGGGAAAAGCACAGGGTCTGAGACCAGAAAGCTGTGGTTCTAGGAGACACCAGTTTGGTTTTTTGTTAATAGTTACAAATGAGACCCAAGAGGACACGGAATCAGGGGTTTGGAGGGACAGCACAGGAGGCCCTGAGGCCCTGGGTCCCACTCACCATCCCACTAGAAGCTCCAGCCCCTGGTTACGAGGACTCCAGGGGGCAGGGGCAAGCAGGCTGGGTGGCGGCATGGCGACGCGCCACAAGGCAGCTGGGCTACCACCGGCCTGCCAACAGTGAGCAGCCGAGCTACCGATGGTCCCACAGGTGGAGGGCCGTGGGCCCTGCTGTCCAAGGGGCCTTCCTCCTCGTCCAAGCCAGGGTGCTCAGCTTGGTTTGTGACAGGGAGCTAGGGTGCCAGCACCCAGCAGGCAGAGGGCAGGCTGCTGCTCCACATCCCCAGGGCAGCCCCTCGGCAGAGGGACCTGGCCCCCTGCGTCAGGGGTGCCTGGGCTGATGGCGGTTTGGGCCAGGGTGGGCCAGGGGGTGTAGTGATAATGGCAGAGTTTGTCTCCTTCTGCCAGAAGGTGGGGTGTCCTGTGGATGGGGGTGGGAGAGGGGGGAGGAGCCCCCTATAGGTGGGGCTTGGCTCTCGGACAGGCAACTTTTAGACTAGGCCCCGTCCGGGCTCTGGGGCGCCCCATTCTGAAGCAGTCCTCTCCCGCTGAGCGTCACCCTGTGCGTGCGCCCCTCCTTCATGGGGCAGGAGGGCACTGTCACCCGCTGGGCAGGAGCAGCCGGCCCTCGGCCCTGGGTGACTCACCAGCATGCTGCTGAGGCTCAGCGTTCCCTACCTTTCCTGGGGAAGGGAGGCAACTAGGAGGCCAGACCCCAGCCCGAGGGCTCCTGGCCACCTCTGTACCAGGGCCTCTGCACGACTGCCCTGTGTCCCACAGAGGTGGCAGGCTCTCTGTGCAGGAGGCCCCAGTGGGCGGGCTGGGCCCACGTCCCGAGGAGGGGACGCTGGATTCTGGTCCCGCAGCCACGGCCTCCTTATGTGCCAAAGAACCCGGCCCTCCGCCTGCCGCAGACCCCAGGGGGACGCGCAAACGTCTCAGACAGCGCACGCACCTCGGGATGCTGGCGAGATAGGCCATGACACTCTGGAAGTCCTTGTCGGGGACGTCGCCGAAGGCCGGATAGTCTGGGAAGGTGATGACAGGGCTGCCGTCGCGCCCCCGCCCACCTGTGGAGAGAGCAGAGCCCCACTTAGCTGGGACTTTTCCACAACCCCGAGGATTTCACCCAAAATCAAGGGTGAGCGGTTCAGTGCTGTAGGTTGCTTTTTTTTAGGAAAGGAAGCAAGCTTAAAGGAAACACCAGGCGCACAATGAGCGAGAATCAAAACAGTCGCCCTTCTGAACAGCCGCCACGGGGCAGCCACACCAAGTGGCACCTCTCCTTCCAGCTGCTTCCTGCGCATTTTCTGCCTGGGACTGAGTTGAACATGCAGCTGGGCCTTTCCTAACCCCAGAACTAGTTTTCCATGATGTGTGGAAATGTGATGTGAGCGCCACTTTCACGTTGCCCGGCGCTCCCCTCGCACTGTGGCTGACGACTCACCTGCCCACTGCAGGTGGGCGCTGGGTAGCTCGTCCGCTGCCCACACGTGAGATGCACCCACTCCAAAGGGAAGCAACCCCTCAGTGCCATAGGGGAGGGGAGGGCGGGGCACAGGCGGAGCCAGGAGGCTTGTCACACCTGAGAAATCGCACGTGGACCCTGGAACGCAGCCCCGTGCGCCACTCGGGATCAGGGACGGCAGGTGCGGCTCCAGCCAAATGAGGTGTCGGGAGCAGAGAGCCTGGGGGAGGGCGGGTGTCCAGTCTGGTTGGCATTGGTGTGAATTGCCCTGCGAGTGGCCCACAGAAGCAGCAGAGGCAGCAGGAGGCAGGACAGGTGGGAGGCACAGCCTGGGCGCCAGGCCTGCCTAGCAGCGCCCTCGGTGGCTGGAGAGGCCGCTGCGGCTCCCTCAAGGGCTGGGGTCCTCTTCTCTTCCCTCTGGACCTGAGTGTGGTCTGGTGACCTGTTCTGGCTCACTGGACATGGCAGACATGAAGCCACCTGACCCCAAGGCTGGACCGTAAGACACCACAGCGTCCACCCGCCCTGCTCAGAGCTGCCCCTGGAAACTGGGCATCATGTGATCCCACAAGCCTGTAGTCACCACACGGCGAGGACGCCCTGCACTGCCAGGAGGGGCAGGCCCCATGGTGGAGCCTGCAGGTGCCAGAAGGGGGCAAAGGAATGACCATCTCAGCCCTCTGTATCCTCACCCATGGAATTAGAAACCATGAGTGCAGTTGCTTTGAGCTGAGTTTTGGGGTAGTTTGAGCAGCAACAGATACCCTGGGCACGTGGCTGCCCCCAGGTTCCCGCTGAGAGGACGCCTTGTGGGCAGCAAGATGCATGCCAGTGGCCCCCCTCCCGCGTGGCATGCTGGCGGTGACTCAGGCATCTTCTGTGCTGTGTGCTAGTCCAGCCAGTCACAATGTAGATGGACGCTGAATAATTGCACTGCAAAGCCTCACGCTGTGAGCCTATCAGACCCTAAGAGCCGGGAGGGCAGGTCCCTCCTGCAAGGGCAGGACCCGTGGGAAAGCAGGTCAGTGTGCCAATCCGGCGGTGGTGAGAAGGGATACAGCTAGGGCTCCCCTCTGAACAGCACCCATATTCACAGTGGAGGGTTGTTCGCCGGGCAGGAAATGTGAAGTGAGCCCCCTCTGGGGAACGTGTCCCTCAGTGACACTCAGCCCCGAGCCGAGGCTTGCTGGTGGAGCAGCCAGGCGGGCAGGTGTGGGGTGGTGACGGAGGACGGGCCCCTCACCTACAGGCGCTTTTGGGGTGCTGCGACAGAGAGGACTCTGGGATTTGGGTTCAGTATGCTGCTTCCTTTGGGTCCCATCCCACCTCCTAATGGACACAGTGCCACGTGGCATTTCCTCCACATTCTCCTCGAGCCCCTTGTCCAGGGACAAAGCCCCTACATTCACCACAAAGCCCCGTGGTGATGTGGGCTTTCCGGATACTCATGGGCAACTTCTTTTTCTCGAGAAGTCACGTGTAGTGGGCGGAGCAAGGGGCTGATCTCAGCCCAGCTTCCATGGGCCCAGGGGTTTTCCTGTGACTGACGGAAAGAGAGACTCTGGCCAACTGGGAGCAATAGCTCAAGAATTTTCTGGAACTCCCCCTCAGATTCTCCTAAGACCCTTCCCTTAAATCCCATTTGGCTACAGCTAATCCTGCTGTTACCACTGATTGTGTTACTTTTAAAAAGCCATCTACAGCTGAGTTGGCTGACTAAGGCGGACCACACTGTCCACGGACAGCAGCGGGATGCGGCCCAGGCGAAGGGCCGCCCCGTCGTCCAAAGGCACTGCCGGGTTGGGGCAGCCCTCATGGAGGAAGGAATGACCTGTGGCGACTGTTCTGAGATGCAGTGTGATCTGTGTGGCTAAGGGGGCGCAGGACAACTTCCAACTCATGACCCACAGGAGGGAAAAGCACAGGGTCTGAGACCAGAAAGCTGTGGTTCTAGGAGACAGCAGTTTGGTTTTTTGTTAATAGTTACAAATGAGACCCAAGAGGACACGGAATCAGGGGTTTGGAGGGACAGCACAGGAGGCCCTGAGGCCCTGGGTCCCACTCACCATCCCACTAGAAGCTCCAGCCCCTGGTTACGAGGACTCCAGGGGGCAGGGGCAAGCAGGCTGGGTGGCGGCATGGCGACGCGCCACAAGGCAGCTGGGCTACCACCGGCCTGCCAACAGTGAGCAGCCGAGCTACCGATGGTCCCACAGGTGGAGGGCCGTGGGCCCTGCTGTCCAAGGGGCCTTCCTCCTTGTCCAAGCCAGAGCGCTCAGCTTGGTTTGTGACAGGGAGCTAGGGTGCCAGCACCCAGCAGGCAGAGGGCAGGCTGCTGCTCCACATCCCCAGGGCAGCCCCTCGGCAGAGGGACCTGGCCCCCTGCGTCAGGGGTGCCTGGGCTGATGGCGGTTTGGGCCAGGGTGGGCCAGGGGGTGTAGTGATAATGGCAGAGTTTGTCTCCTTCTGCCAGAAGGTGGGGTGTCCTGTGGATGGGGGTGGGAGAGGGGGGAGGAGCCCCCCGGGGTTTTGCCTGAGTGACCTGCAGTTTCTGTGAGTTGTGATGGAAACCCAACATCTGGATTGTTTTGGACATTTCAGCTTAAGATGTTGATCTTGTTTTCTAACAAATTCCCAGCAACTTGGTGACAGAAAGCAACAACCATCTGTGCAACAGCTCACAGTGTGCAAGTGGGGAGCAGGGGCTGGGCTCTCGGCTCGCTCAGGGTCTCCCCCTGAGCTGGAGGTGTCCCCAGCTGGTCTCCAGGCTCATTCAGGTACTGGCAGAATTCAGCTGCACCAGCCTCAGGACCGAGGTCCCAGAGCTCCTCCTGGTGTTGGCTGGGTCACGCTCGGCCCCCGGGGCTGCCCACCCCCCTTCGCCAAGTGGCCCCTCCGTCTCCAAGGCTGGCTGGGCAATCTCAGTCACATCAAACCTCAGGCCCCTGTGTGGGGCCTGCCTGCTCCCTGAGGGCCCAGCCGATGAGATCAGGCCCGAGGACAGCTCACAGCCTGATCTGGGGTCTGAACTGCATCAGAAAGCCCCCCCGCTCCGTCCCCAGCACGTGACCAGTGTCTGACTAACAGAGCAGAGGTGTGTCTGGGGGTCCTTAGGGCCCTCCTGGTTTTGCCTGCTTCCCAGGTACTCACGGGGGATTTACAGCCTGGACGAAGGTCAAGGTCATGAGTCTGGGTCACCAGGGCACTAGATCTCTGAGGCGTTTGGGGTCTTGAAGGGCATGGAGGTTGGGGGGACTCCAAGGAGCCCCAAAGAGGCTGAAGCTCCTTCCCTGTGCGCTTGCTGCCACCGCCCAGGACCCCGTCCTGTGGGGACTTCCTTTCCCTGAAGGACAGCCCGCCGTCCCTCCTTCCTTGAGGTCGGTAGTCCCTCACGGGGGTCCTGCCACCTTGAAAAGCAACGATGCCATCTTGCTGCTGACAAATGCCCTCAGAGCCTCCCTTTTCCTGCTGACAGTCCCCAGCTGTCACCCCACATGCCCCAGAACTGTACCAGGGTCCACAGGCAGCCACAGGCTGGCCAACACCAGCTCCCTGCACCGGGGCACGGCAGGCAAGTGGGCCGAAGCCCAGAGTGGCCTTGGGGACACAGAGCTGGCTCTCCAGGTTCAGGAGGGAACCCTGACCTGCTGGCTAAGGGGACAGCAGAGGCCGAGTGCCTGAGGACACCGTACAGTGTATGGAGCATGCGGCAGGTCGGCCTGTCCAGGCAGAGGGGTGACCTGCGTGGCTCCGAGGGTGTAACCACACGCTCTGAGGCCCCATGCAGCCACACCGGCCAGCGGCTGGGGTCTTGAGCCACAGTCAGCCAGACAGGACGTGCCCACGGGGAAGAGGGGCTGGGACGCAGCGACTCCAGGATGGAGCCTGCCCACGCGGGCCCCCTAGGGACGGAGCTACAGAAGGCCCTGGGCGCTGCAGAATAAGCCACATGTCCTGTGCTGACTCTACCTGCTGCAGGAAAGTTCTGGATTCCAGGAGACCAGCCAGGGGCGCTTGGGCTACATCCCCTCGGGACTGGCCTCCAGCTGGCCCTTCCCGCGGCCTCCTGCTGACCAGCCAGGAGCCGCCATCTTTGTGCGCAATGCCACAGCCTCTCCCAGGCCCTCAGATCAGGCTGGCCTGCACAGACTGTCCCGGCTCCCCACCAACAGGGCCGCTTCAGTCTCGGAGAGCCCAGCGGAGGCCTGCAGCTGGCGTGCAGCCCTTCCCTGCCTCCCACAGCCCTGGCACTCACCAGACAGGTAAGCAAAGCGCTTCTTCAGCTGATCCTGGATGTCGGCGGCACAGAGCGGTGTGAGGTCCTGGTGCATGATCTCATCTGGGGAAGAGCACACAGACACAGCTGTCACTCGGGGGAACCTGCCTCCCACGCGGGGTCTGGGTCAGCCCGCAGCACGGCACACACTCAGCAAGCACCTAAGGGGTGACGTGCTTGGAAGAAGGAATTTCAGTTTACAGTATGCAGAAACCTTTGTTTCTCAGAGCACAAAAGCTGCGTGCTGACGGATTCATCAACATTTAAAATGTGTCAGAGGCACAGAGCCAGGCAGGGGGAGGGGCGAGCCAGGCAGGCAGCAGTGGGGGCAGGTGGGGGTGGCAGCTGGGGGCCTAGACCGGCGGTCAGCAGGCAGCACCCGGAGCAGACCCGCGTCTGGAGGTGGGCCGCACCACTCGGCCGCTGCTGCCTGCGCAAAGACTTGCTGGCCAGCAAGGAAGCCTGGCCTCTGTGGCAGTCCACGGCCTCTGAGCACACAGCACACACGAGGACACCCAGGGCTCTGTGCCTGCGGGGATCCTCACTGCCTGCCTGACACAGGAGCCAAGCCGAGCCCCGGGCTGATGGGGAAGCTGGCTCGGCAGGCCCCAGGCTGCAGCGTCTGGATCAGGGGTCTGGGTAGACTGGTGGCAGCCCCAGAAGCCAGAGGGTTTGCACGCATCTAGGGGACAGTCACCATATAGCCAGAGGGGCCACGGCACCAGCAGGCAGATCCGGGAGCCAATGTGTTCTGCGTGTCTGCTGGGACTTCTGCATTTCTGAGTCAGCGTGAGGCTGGCCATAGTGTGATCTGTGGCCGTGTCTTATGTCACCAGACCCCCGCTGTACACCAAAATCTGCAGTCTTGAGCATTCACACAATTTCTCTAGACTCAGTGACTTGCAAATGCCTTGAAAGGTCAGTTCTTCACCAGCTTAAGAGCTGGCAGGGACAGCCTGGGGAAATGGGTCCTGGAGACCTACCCTGAAAACCGCAGGCTGGGCAGCCAAATGCTGTTTGCAGGGTCAGGCTCCGTCCTGCCCTCTGCAAATGGCAAGTGTAAACAGGTGACACAATTAGATACACAGATCCTGGCTGTGTCACCTGTGGACCCCAGCTGCCACACCCAGCCAGCCTGTCACCTGCCTGGCACAGAGGAGGAAGTGGTCAGGGCCCAGCAGGGTGGCCTCAGGTCAGGAAATGAATCAGTCAGTGCCAAACCCAGCTGTCAGTAGCTACACGGCTCCGCAGGCAGGCGGGAGGCACAAGGCCGCCTCCAGCGAGGGTCTCCGCCATGGAGAGAAATGGGGCTGGGGCACCTGCTCCAAGAGAGCCTGAGAGCTTCTGAGTTCTGGATGAGGGGGTCTGTGGCTGTCCACACCTCGTTCGTTTGGAACGCGTGTGGGCGTGTGTGACGGGCAGCAGGGCAGGTGGGAAGGAGTAACCCTTTCTCAGGCTCAGCCTCCACAACTGCAGGGGAAGTGTGTCACTGGGACACAGTCCCCTGGGAAGAGCGGCTCCCTGAAGTCTGGGGATGTTCTGGGGGCAGCAGAAAACGGCCTGGGTGCTGAGATTGCAGGTCCTGTGGCATGCGCCCCACAGGTACAGATGCTAACCTAACCTTCCCACCAGGCCCCAGGCTCCACCAGCAACTGAGGACGGAGCCCAGTGTCAAGGCCGCGGTGGGGACGCCCCACAGCAGGGCTCACGCCGGGTTCCCAGTGCTTCTGAAGGGCAGGCCCTTTGCGGCTGCTCTCACGTGAGCGAGCCCACTGACACCGCTGGGGCTGTCTCTCTGTCCCTGTACCCAGCAGGCTGACGGGTCTCTGTGTACTGGAGACACAGGGCCGAGGGGACTAACACTCGGGTACTGTCTGTGCCAGTGGCAGTCTCCCAGGCTGGGCTGTGGGGTGGACTTGGCTCCCCCGGGAGGTGGCCAGGGGCCTCCCCTCCCCTCTCCAGCTGCCAGCCGCCTCCCGTTCCCAGAGCACCTCCAACAGCCTTCATTCACCCTTCAAGCCCCAGGGCCTTTGCACAAGCCTCCCCATGTCCTTATGCAATTCCCAGCACATGTGTCCCCTGCTCAGGGAGGCCTCTCCCTACCTCCTGGCCTGGGCACAGGCCTCGTGGCATGCTGCCCCATGTGGAGGCCCTCCACGCCTGCTGCGTGTCCTACTCACAGAGGCCCCTGTGGTGGGTGGGAACTCAAAGGGCCTATGTTGAACATACAAAGCAGAGGCAAACGGGACAACTTTCCAGATAACTGTTTAGAATCCAATGGACCCGACAGAGTTCCTTCTGACAGGCACACAGGCTGGTTCCAGAATCTTTAAGGCCAATGGGGTGCGAACCCAGACCCTGACCATAGCCCACAGCCCGCATTCACCTGCAGGGGCCCAAATGCACGACTTTTCTGGGACAGAACTAACCCCAACGTTGCGCCGTTGCTCAGGCACCCGCTGGAGGCGTGACAGGGTGCTCTGTGTGGGGCCTGCTGGCGTGTGCATGAAGGCACGTCCATGCACAGGGCAGCTGAAAAGCATTCATGTCTGCAGGGGCTGCTGGCCACTCCCCATTAAACAAAAGTAATTAAGGACACTTTTTGCTGGCATAAGGTGATGCATGTCACGTGACGCCATCTATGGATGCCAGCCCCAAGCACCAGGCACGTGGCCCTGCCCACTTTGTTCCTGTGCCCAATTTTCACCGTCCTGCCTCTTTACTCTCCTTCGAGCACAGGGCAGCTTTGTGCTTGGAGCTTAGCTTTTTAAGTTTCTTGTTCATTACACTGGATTTTGTGGAAGTTACACTGTGACATGGGTCCAGAGGAGGTGTGGGCCTGTGGGGGATGCAGGCGTGCCAGGCCCTCCACTGTCAGTCTGGGGCAGGAAGTGGGGCCACCCCACCGGCCAGTTCAGTGAAAGGGTCAGGCAAGGCCCGGCTCCGCACAGAACTGCTCTGTGTGAGCACAATGCCGCACAGACGACTGCCCGTTTCCGACATTCCCGTCCTGGCCCAGACGTGAATGGGGACTCAGGGCCATTAGCCCATCACAATATCACGTTTGAGGGAGGTCAGGAGGGCCTCGGGGAGGAGGAGAGGGCCCCGCTTCCCTTCCGATGCCCTAGGGAGGGGGTGGCGGCCAGGCGCAGCGGGGGTGGGTGGGGAGAGGGGAGCCGCCTTGCAGGGCACAGAGGTCCTGCTTGCCCCTCTGTGGGAGTTACCCCGGCTCACGGCCGTCCTGGGCCCAGTCAGTCCCAGATGCGACAAGGGAGGGAAAGCCCGACTGCAAACAAGCCACGCAGGCCACTGCCAAGCCCCCTGCCGCAGAGTCCAGGGCGGCACTTCCCTCGGCCTGCCCCTGCCTGGCAGCCAGACCGACGCAGCAAACCTCCTGCTGCAAAGTGACTCGAGGATTCGCTTTATTTTAGGACAGTTTTGTAATGAAGACCGGCCAGCTGCCCATGCCTGTCCACTTCCAGGGGCTTCTAAGCCTCAGCCCCAGCACAGAATGCATGGCGGTGACAAGAGGCAGGGCGGTCAGGCGGCACCCCGAAACCCCATCGGCAGACAGTAAACGTCCCAGGAGAAGGGCCCCAGCACACTAGGAGGGGCCCCAAACCTGGCTGAAAGGCAGGCCCGGGCGGTGACTAGCGACCTCAGACTTTGCTCAAAGGGAGAGAGGGCCCAAGAAGGGTTCCGGGCCGGAGCTGGCGGCCGGGAGGGGCCCAGGCCGCCGTCCACTGGGTGCTGACTCTCTTCTCTTGCTTAAGCCTGGCTGGACGTCCACACCCAAAGGCTTTTATTTCTAATAAAAATACAGCCATTATGACTTTCAAAGCCCAAGGCCGGGTCACTTCACCAACTCACCTGGGGGGATTCCCGTGCCGCCAGGCCCACCCAGGAATCTCCAAACCAAGAGTAAAGTGTGTGCAGAGAAAGAAGGCGGAGGCCGCAGAGGCGCAAAGCCCGGATGCGAGAGGATGGAGCCCGGGGCCTGGCTCCATGGAGGCCAGTTCCGGCGCTGCAGCACGGGCAGGACGGATGTCCCCACCGCCGGGCCCGGGGCGTGGGCAGGAGCGGCGCCTCCCTTTCTGTCCACACCTGCTCTGTGATCTGGCCCTTCAACAGGCTGGACAGCTGCACTGCCGTGGGCGGCTGGACTCTGGATACTTTTATTGGTCATTTGTTAGGGGATTAGGATAAATATCTCACATCACACACACAGCACGAATCAGTTCACCCAACGCTCTCCCCGACTCCCTCATCCCAGGAAGCAAATCCTTACAGGTTTTCAAATAAACGTCCCCATATGAGAACACGCTTGGCTGCCTGCAGTCGCTGTCAGAGAAAAGCATTTTCTTCTTCAGAGTGGTGACAGCTCGCCCACAGCCACGGGCGGAGATCAGGGAACCAGACTAAAGCAGGCTGTGGCGGCCGGACCTGCCCCAGGTGGGCACTGGGTGGCAAGTGCCACTCAACCCTTGGGACTGCAGTGCACACTGTGCAAAAACAGGCTTGCCCGGAGCCCAGCGGCCCGCCTCGGGTCAGCGTCCAGGCCTGCATGGTGTCAGGCTGCATGCCCGTGCCCGACAGGTCTGCAGCTCCGGCCTGCGAGGGGGCCACCTGGAGCCATAGGATGGCGTGTGCAATCACATAAGCCTCACCTGGATGCCCTGGGTGCCTTCCACCTGTCCCAGCCCACACCAGCCATCACCCACTCAGCTGATCACAGACTCCACAGACGGCTCTCAAGGCCACCCCACCCAATGTTTCTGAACTAGACCAACTTAAAAAATAGCTTTTGGAGCCCAGTCCCATGGGCTGTTGGCTGGGTTACCTCCACTGAGTCCTAGGCAAGCAGGGCCACGGCACTCACCCAGCCTCGATGCTACACAAAGTGCAGATGACTGAGCCCCAGGAAGCCTCAGAACTCCCCCTCCCCGCACCTGGGGCAGCTTGGCCAAGTACGGGGGGGTGGCCCACATACCAAGGCCATGCTCGGCTAATCTCTGTGGACGGGCAGGCCGTGTTCATGCCCCGCCTGCCCCTACGTGCACACA